TTGTGTGTGTGTGTGTGTGTGTGTGTGTGTATGTGTGTGTGTGTGTGTGTGTGTGTGTGTGTGAAATAACTGTTCACTTTGTGTCACCAGGGTTTGACAGTTGGGAATCTTAAAACAAAAGTGTTTAACCACACTGCACAGAGCTGTCATGCTGGGTGTTGGTGCAGGTTAATTCAGAATTACAGAAAACTTTTCACCTTCTCATTCTGAAGTCCATCTCGAGGTCCAACCTCTACAATCTTCACCCTCTCTGGGAATGAGAATGACTGTGTGGCAGACACACTGACCTGTCAGATATCTATCTCTCTCTCACACACACACACACACACACACACACACACACACACACACACACACACACACACACACACACACACACACATCATTTCAACTGTGAATCATAAAACTGAATTGAATTGTCATTCGTCAATTAATTCATTTAGGTAAATCCAAACCACGTAACATTCAGTTCATGAACTTACGGATCTGAGTATTCCGGCAGCAGCGGAGCGCAGAGCGGGTCGGTGAACCCGAGCAAAAGCGAAAGGACCTGGACTAACTCTCATCACGAGCGCCATCATCACACGCCCCCATTCGCCATGACGTCACAAGCTCATATATATGGATTTAGATCTCGCGATAATACGGGATCAGATTTCGAGAAGCTCGGCAACTTTTTTTCTGTTTGGAAGGATGTTTGGAACATTAATACAAATTCAAATGTATGGAGTAATTTTTTGTTTTTGTACAAGATACCATTGATTCTAAAAGTACAATTTATTTTCTTACACAATTAATTGTTTTACTTTGGAAAATATATTCATGTAAAGAAATGGGGTAAAGCTAAGCCACATTGTGAACAATTTATAAAATAAATTAATCAATACGGTACTACTTTGCACAATATTAGAAACAAAAAAGCTAAAAAGATTTATGAAGCACTGTCACTTTAATTTGGTTAATTAAATGTTTTACATTTGTACCCCTGTCATATACAGGTGCATCTCAATAAAGTAGAATGTCGTGGAAAAGTTCATTTATTGGTAAATGCACGTTCTTTGTATACCTTTTCCTATTATTTTACATAATTGCATAATAAAAAATGTATTAATTTATAAATACATACATAAATATAAACAATTTCTCTCTCTGTGTCAATCATCGCAGCTCTGAGAGCTGAATGTTTTTGTTGTGTCTAAAAGGTTGTGTTAAATGTTGGCATAAAATTAGTTTTATGTTAATTTATTCCCCCTTTTTTATCCTATTTAAATGCCAATGATGATTCATGCAAAAACTGCATGTTTATAAAATATATTTTTAGTCCAAATAATCAAAACACAAATAATTTTATGTTAAAATAAGACAAATGTCAAAGATGATATATCCAGTGTGAAACAGAAACACATATACTCATATATACAATATTTTATTTAGACAATGTTTATGTTGAGCCTATGACTGGTAACAATGTAACTCGTTTTGTTTTAAATAAATAAATGAGTCTGTTACACATCACACAAAGCAGGTCACGTGGACTCCATGAAGCATAGTTCATTAAATGATAAATGTAAACCTTGGCATTAACTAAAGTTGTAGTAATCTAATGTGAAAAATTAAAACTGCTTTGAAAAATTAAAGTCGAAACTAGAACATTGCAGTTTTTTTTAATTACAGAAGAATCTGTCCCATTGTATCAGTCATGTATCTAAATTAAATTTCCATATTGTCATTTTGCCCATAAATGCCTTTTTGAAATAAACTAAATATACTTTAAATTACAGAAATATACTTGTACTTTTATAAAAGCTGTTATATTTCAATACTTTAGATTTTCAATGAGAAAGTGTTTTTATTTGTACAAAAACGCACAATCATATCCCTTATGAAATTTTAACAGGCCTTAAACTGCCAGGAAGACAGCTTTTGCCCATTCACCCTTTCACACACAACCACAAGCATGTCATCACTTTCCACTGGCTTCCTCGTCACTGTCCTCCACTTCCTGGATTATGAGATCTGCCCCAGAATCTTCTGCGAGGTCATCGTCGTCCATGACCCATGCAATTTGCCTGTTCTCACTCATGTCCTCTTCCACACCCAACAACAGGCCTTCCTTCTCCTCATTTCCATCAGTCCCATCTGTGATCAACTCACTGTAGCCGCTCTCTTGAATGCAAACGTCACACAGCCTGTATTTGCGGGTTCCCTCACATACCACTCGCCCAGTGACTTCAGTTACATGGCGTTTGCACTTCCGGCACACAAGCTTACAGGCCTGATGGATCTGTGGAACACAAGCGATAAAACAGGATGTTTTAGATATCACATTAATGTTTGTGTTTTTTTTGACAGCCTGAAGAAAAGTATAATTATGTATAATCACATCCATTACATTTGACTCAATTCAGCCCTGACTTAATGTGATCACACAGGAAGTCCAAGAAATAAATTAATTACCAACAGTAGCATGTGGATGTACAGCCTGTGGAGGTGTTAATGGACCAGACATGTGTGAAGCGGAGTGTGTTTCTCACCGTCTCAAAATGGCTGCGCAGGTGTTCCAGGCGAGTGAAACGTTTGCTGCAGGCCTGACAGGGATAAGGACGCTCACCTGTGTGACAGCGGAGGTGACGCTTCAAGTCGGCCTTTCTCTTTACTGTGTGCGTGCAGAATGGACATTTGTAACGCATAGAGGGAGTGGAATCTGAGACAGAGAGAGACAGACATTTACTGTCAGATCCCTTTCATGCATCACCACATCAAATGACTACTTGAAAGCCTATTTAAAATAAAAAAAATCTTGTTTACCTAGAAAGTTCAAAAACATACTATAAAAGAGAGTTCGAGTAGGAATAAGCGAGGGGAAAAAAAGAGAAATGTTTTGCATTTTTAACTTCTGTAAAAGTTTTGGCTGTTGTTTAAGACCTTGAATGGCTCTTTATAGCTAAATGCCATTTGGATTTGTGCAATATGAACATAGAAAATCTAGTCTAAGCACTTTTATTGTGGAGGCAGAGAAATTCTTGCTGGAGGATGAAAATTTTTTTTTACATTTAATATTATTTTTAATAAATGTTTTCCCCCCCTTGATCCTCATGCATGTGTGTGTATATATATATATATATATATATATATATATATATATATATATATATGAAGGCTGAATTTACTGAATTTATTTGATCAAAATACAAGAAAACAATATTATTGTACAATATTACAATTGAAAACTTTTAATTTCTTCCTGTGATGGCAATGCTGTAAAGCAAATTTTTCAGCAGCAATTTTTCCAGTCTTCAGTGTCACATAATTCTTCCTAAATCATTCTGATTAGTTCTGGAAATTCATTGTTGAAAAGATTTGTGCTGCTTACTATTTTTGTGGAAACTTTGATACTTTTTCGAGGATTCTTTAATGGTTGTAAAGTTTAAAAATGTATTTGAAATTGTTTTTTTGTAACAACATAAAAATCTTTGCTGTCACTATTGATCAATTAAATGCATTGCTAAATATAAGTATTCAAAAAAATAATACCAATAAAATAAAAACTTACTGACCCCAAAATATATATGCACAATATCTGCAGGTTTGTGCTCACCTTTATTAAACACCCCAACTACCCCAACAATAGACGGAAGGTTGGCGTACAGTTCGTCTGCTTTCTGAGAGCAGTGTGATACCACCCCCTGCAGGTCAATGAGAGAGGTGTCTTCTGTTACTAAGCGAATGCTGGCAGTTCTTTTCCTGCTTCCTCTTCTTCTGCGTTCAGAGAGCACAGAGCTGAACTGCTCCTCCTCCATTTGCCCCTCCAGACTGGACTGTGGAGGAGAGTTCTGCTGAAGCCCTGATGGCTGTGGGCTTGTTCCACTGAAGTCTTCCTGTGTCTGATCCTCCTCTGCTTGATCCCAGAGTCCGGTCTGAGAGCTCATGCTTTCGTCACACATGTTGGATGGATCGATGACATTCTCACGTCTGTCCTGAAGTGGACTGCTGTCTGACAGACACAAATACCGACTCTCATCGTCCTCTTTTGTGCTGATCTCAAGGAAAGATTTAATGAAGGCCTTGCAGTAGGAAATGACGTCATTCATCTGCAGGTAGCTAGCGGCTGACATCACTTCTATTACATTAGAGCTATTGAGCTCCAGCTGACCAGAGTAAATGAAGTCCAGGATGATGGCAAAGATCTCAGGGCTGAAGACATCAAAAGAAGCATTTACAGACTCTAGAGTGTCTTTAGCTCCTTGAGACAGCAACATCCTGAAATATCCACTGCTGCCGTACAGGACGTTACGGTGTGCACGGAAAATCTGACCCTCCACCAGCACACTGCAGTCACAGAACAATTCCTGCTGTCGTTGCTGGTCCAGCTGCTTTAGCAAACAGCTCTGGTGAATGGCTGACATATCAGCACTGGTCCATTTGTGAACAGGCCTGAAAAAAGGAAGTGGGACAACTTAAAAATAAAAAACAACAACAGAAAAATTATGAAAGAATGAGTAATTAACTGTTATTCATGATTCAGTTTGACATTATTCCTGCAGCTTGTATGTGCAGTGCCAGTGTTGTGCTTTGCCTTTGTGTGATGTAATGGCAGCGATTTTATTTCACGAAGAGGCAGATAAACTCCGCCCACTGTGCTCTGATTGGATGACACATCTGTCAATTATGTACATTCGCTGTGGAAGGGGCAACACCCGACTTTGCGCATCGGGTAACGAGGGAGAGAAACAGGGAGAGAGAAAAGGAGAAATAAATACAGAAAGATGGCGAAAAGAAGAGAAACGCGTGTTTAAAACATGAAAAATATTACAATAAAGGAAAAATTGGCGACGCTGTTGCTGCTAAAATATCTTATCATTGGTTCCCTTGCAGCACGCGCACACAAATACAAAAACTGGGTTACCGTGCAAGACATATAGAAATAAACAAATAACCAACCCAATTAACATAAAGACATAACGTAGCAACAGAGAAAACGCTAGAAAAGTCAATTATAATATTAAAGTCACTGCGCCCTATATGTGCAAAACGCCCGCCGGAGAAAGTAATACCTGAGGTAACGCGCACACACGCCTGTGATTATCTAAAAGGACATTTAAACATTGACCAGGCATATAATTTCTTACATTACGAATCAAACCTGTCAAATAAGAGAGAAGAGGCAGTGGGGTGGTTTCTGACGGGAGCCCTGTCGTCCGTGGAGAGCCGCCCACCGAACCGACCTCAGCTAGAAACACTCCAGACTGGATTTTAAACCGCAAAACACCCGGCTTTGTAAACACCTTCATCGCATCTTCATGTTTCAAATCACCTGAGTTCGGACGAGCCTCGTGCTGGTCCCCGTCGCCCACCCTCTTTACCCGGGCACCGTTTCCCCAATCTCTTAAACATAGCCTAATACTCACAGATGCCCCGCGTCACCCGAACTCCTGTACGGTCGACATGTCCCACTTTCACAAACCATCTCCATTTCTCTGCCTACTTTGGATGTATTTCTCCAGCTTTTGTTATCAGGGCGAACGGCTTTCACTTCCTGCTTTGCCCGAAAGACCGAAACCCGTTTGTGCTGGAAAAACGTTTTGCTGACGTGGGTGTCCGGAGCGCCCGGGACCGGAGAACCGCTTAAAGCACACGCGCCCCCGTACAGCAAGCCCGCTACATTTATATTCACAGGTTCTGACCTTGAACATGAACAAATGTCCCATTTTAGTATGTTTTTCAGCACTTATGCTGACCCTTTCGTCTCATTGGAAACAGCGCCTTTGATTTGGCAGGGCACGATGTTCGTTACATACAGTCGAGTCTAATAAGAAAAAAAAGTTAAAAACAAAAACGTTATGCTGATTTGTTAAATGTACAATCAGTGCAATGCTGAAAAAAATACTGTAAAACTGTTGAACCTGCATGGACATACATAAAACGAGAACACAGCAAACACAAGTTATTTCTAAACAAGTGAAATAATTTTTATTTCATACTGACAAGGAAGTATAAATATTTCTGGATTAGAAATTAGCCATTCAGTGTACCTTGATAAAAGTGAGATGACGTGAAATTGGAGGAAAAGAGAAAACAAAAGAGAAAGATTTTGAATGTGCTAAAATCATTTGTTTAGCTTCTTCAAGTTTCTTGTAATATAATGATTATACATATAATTATTAAAAAATTAAAAGACTTCAAGGTCCTACTTTGGCTATGTTTATTGCCATGAGTGCAATTCCCTTATTTTCCATAAGAAACATTCTGCATTCATCCAGTTTCAAGGCTGTGTTCCGTTACTGAATCCTGTGGGGTTCTGGGATTGCCAGCGCCATAGATCCTCACCTGTGTGATTAGATGAAACATTTCGATTAATCATGAGCTGTCAGTACTTCACACCCCATTACACTCTTTTCTACTTATGCACACTGCAGAATTAAAACGATTTAAATTCACACTTACACATCCTCTCCAGGTCGTATTCAGCCTTCCAGCTCAGCTCTTTCTCCGCCAGAGTTGGATCTGCATAGCAGGAGGCCACATCCCCACTTCGTCGAGGAGCAATTTGATAGGCAATCTGGGACCAGAGGAAAAATACTAGCATTGAAAACCATATCAAATCCGAAAAAACTTTTATGCCAGTATAAACATCGTAACGCAATTTTATAAAAGGCTAAATAAAATATTTGTGTGTGTGTGTGTGTGTGTGTGTATATATATATATATACACTGAACAAAATTATAATGGCAACACTTTTGATTTGGCCCCCATTCTTTATGAGCTGAACTCAAAGATCTAAGACATTTTCTATGTACACAAAAGGCCTATTTCTCTCAAATATTGTTCACAAATCTGTCTAAATCTGTTAGTGAGCACTTCTCCTTTGCAGAGATAATCCATCCACCTCACAGGTGTGGCATATCAAGATGCTGATTAGACAGCATGATTATTGCACAGGTGTGCCTTAGGCTGGCCACAGAGAAATAGGCCTTTTGTGTACATAGAAAAAGTCTTAGATCTTTGAGTTCAGCTCATGAAAAATGGGGGCAAAAACAAAAGTGTTGCGTTTATAATTTTGTTTAGTGTGTATATGTGTATATATATATATAGGCTATGCATATATTAAAATATTTTTATGATGAAGATAGTAAAGGTGTGGTGTGTTAAATAGATTTTACAATAATCATAAACTTTCTTTAGTTCAGGTCAAGATCCTTTGGTAAATCTAATGTGTGCACTTGAAAGATGATGGTTTTTCCTTGACTTAAACACATTGAAAAACCAAAGATCATTTTAGAATATTTAAAGCTTTTTTGTAAAATGTATAGCCTATATAAAAAAATAAAGCTCAATATTAATTAATTGTAAAACATTTAATTGCTGTTGTTTAAACCATTAGCCCTTTTCTGCTTGCTTATTCAGTCATTCATGTACAGTACAATCAACATACCACTATTATTTAAAGTCTTGTAAGGCTTTTATGTGTACATACAAAAGTCAATGGACAGCAACGTGATCCTTAGAATTTATTCAGCCAACAAGATTACAAACGTTTTCAAATGATGTGGTTACAGTATGAAGCAAAATCTAAAACAGCTGCAATCAAACAGTGATTTCAAGGTGTGGAATTTCTTTGCAAACAAACAAAGATAATTTCCCAAGCCGTTTCTCAAACATTTCTTCTGTCTGCTCACTTTCCTCATTTTGAAAAAACAGGTGTCGTCATCCCAGACATAACCAGTTGAGCAAGATACAAGTCATTCCATTACCAAACAGCAATGCCTGGAAACCAGTGCTTACACTCTTCAGCTAACATATAAATGCTTATGCATACTTAGATACAAGAAATAATTTTTTTTCTCTCTACGATTTGTACTTGGAAATAATATAAACAGTCATGTACTTGACATATGAACAAACCACTAAATCAGAACAGAATGAAACAAAAAAAAAATAATAAAGCAAAATAGTCAGTACAATGGTAATATGTGACCCTGGATCACAAAACCAGTCTCAAGTCGCTGGGGTATATTTGTAGCAATAGCCAAAAAAACATTGTATGGGTCAAAATTGTCAATTTTTCTTTTATGCCAAAAATCGTAAAGATCATGTTCCATGAAAATATTTTGTAAATTTTCTACCGTAAAATTGACTGGTTTTGTGGTCCAGGGTCACATATACATATATATATGGACCACAGCAGGTTTATGCCTCACCTTTCGGCCTGAAGCTTTTTCCATGGCATTCACCATCTGCAGCACTGAGTAGCCTGTACCTGTGCCCAGGTTATAAACCTACACAGAGACCAGGGCAGAAATGTAAAACAGAAAAAAAAGATGTGAAAAATAGTACATTAAAGAAGATGAAAAATTGTCTTACTTTACACCCACGGTTGTCCTTCAGTTTCCCGACGGCAGCAATGTGCCCCTTCGCCAAGTCAACAACATGGATGTAGTCTCTCACACCTACCCAGAAAAAAATAAATAAGTGTTGTTTTTGTTACTGAAAACTAAACTGAAAAGAAAATGGAAAAATTCTTGTTAACTGAAATAAAAACCAACATAACTAGGAAAAAACTGAAAATAAAATTTTTTATTACTCCAAAACTAAACTAAAATAAATAATACTACAAATTAATTTTAGAGACAGTATATTATAAAACGTAACCTTTACAACCCACCTGCATTATTGATAAAAATGGCACTGGATAGCAAAAACATTAGACGGCATTTATTTTTTTTATGATACCATTTAGCACATAAACTACTAAAATAAAAATGGAATAAACTGAAACTAGAAAACTAAAAGAAAAAAAAAAAAAATGAAAATGAAAAAAAACTAAAAGAAAACCAAGTTTTATTTTAGCATTATTTATATTAAAATATATGATTAAGGCCCAATCCCAATTCTACCCCTTACTCTTTCACTTTCCCCTTCCCCTTTGTTTCGTGCGTTCACATGAAGGGGTAGGGGTGTCTCAATTCTCTTTTGGCTGGAGGGGTAGGGGTAGGGAAAGGGCCAGATAGCCCTTCAAACGAAGATTTTTTTGGGACCTCACTTCAAACGAAGGGGTATGATAAATTTCCCCGCATGCGGCAATATGGCTGCCCGGGCAAGCATAAATGAAAGTATTTTGTTGGCATATATAAGGATTTTAATAACAAATAATCATTTGTTTTATGTTGCATTCAATCTTGTGTTCATATGTACGGTTATGTTCTCTGAAAAAAAGGTTTGTAAAAATCACTATGATAAAAGATCGCTAATGTTATTGACTGCACGATAGTTCCACAACATATTTTATTCATACCCGCTGATTTGACAACATAAATACTAGTCTGGTGGCAGGTAACTTATCTTTTACCACACGTCTGAGTTTGTGATAAACATCGGTCCATTTTCTTTGACCCCGGGCAAGCATAAATGAAAGTATTTTGTTGGCATATATAAGGATTTTAATAACAAATAATCATTTGTTTTATGTTGCATTCAATCTTGTGTTCATATGTACGGTTATGTTCTCTGAAAAAAACGTTTGTAAAAAAACCAATATGATAAAAGTTTGCTAATGTTATTGACTGCACGATAGTTCCACAACATATTTTATTCATACCCGCTGATTTGACAACATAAATACTAGTCTGGTGGCAGGTAACTTATCTTTTACCGCACGTCTGAGTTTGTGATAAACATCGGTGCATTTTCTTTGACGACATATGATTACATGCAACTGTGTAGTAGTGGTGTCCCATTTCTTAGGGGAATATTTTCAGCCTTACCGCTCGACATTCTGTTTCAAGGGGCAAGGGGTAGGCGGAGGGATAGGGGAAGGGGTATAAAATAGAATTGGGATTGGGCGTCAATATATATATATATTTTTAATTTTATTTATTTTAATTTTTTTATATTTCTATTTAGCTTTGATTTATTTTCATCTCAGTTTTAGTCTTTAATCTTAGCAAGTTTGGTACTTCAACTTAAACTTATTTCAGTTAGCAACATTACACACCGATTTTCCAATTTGTAGAGTTTTTCATCTTTTTATTTCAGCTTTGTTTCAATTAACCAAAACTATTTTTAATAGTTCTAGTTAACAATAACAACTTAAACTAACAATAAAGAAAACGAACAAAAATGAAAACAAATTGAACAGATAAAATGAAAAAGTTGGCAGAGTTATGGCAGAAACAGCATGCTGAAAACCATCTCTCATCACCTGTTCCATCAGGCGTGCTGTAGTTATTTCCAAACACATTCAGATGTTTTCGTCTGCCAATAGCCACCTGCCATACACAGTGAGAAAGAACAACATCCATTACAATACACAGACACAGACACAGACACACACACACACACATGCGCGCGGTCAAATGGGATACCTGGGCAACATAAGGCAGAAGGTTGTTTGGGATTCCCTGTGGATCTTCACCAATCTGTCCTGAGATGTGAGCACCAATGGGATTGAAGTACCTGAGCAGCACAGCATTCCAGTCCTGCAAGATATTTTATCAGTCACAAACCTGCCAAACAGAGTCAATAGTGTCATAAGAGAGCGGTCAGCTACCTTCTCTGCTGTGCATTGGTCCTTGATCATTTCCTCTATGAAGTACTTGGTCTTGCCATAGGGGTTTGTGCAGCCACCCACTGGATGCTGCTCATCAATGGGGAGTTTCTGGGGGTCTCCATAA